CCGCACGGTTCGTGCTTTAAATGGTACTTGCTGCTAGCTTGCTTTCCCTGTCTCTGTCTCTCTCCCTTTGAAGCAGACTGGACAGCTTCCTCAAGCTGGCGTTATCACTCCCTCTAACCACTCTTGGCAGGCAATCTAATTCCCCCTGAAAAGGTCACCGCCATTTTAACTGCCTTTCAATCACATTAAGCACGCTGCCGCTCGTGCTCAGAGCACTGCGCCTGCAGCTCTCCTGACTGAGGTGCGATCGATAAACTGACATCCCGTCCCCCCACCCGATCTCCCCAACCACCCCATCCGCCGCTTGCCTCCTTCCCCTCTCCTGGACAAGCCGCCTTCCCAGAATGGACAGCGAGAGACCAAGTGACAAAAACCTCTCCTCAAATGTGAAGCAGCAGAAGGGAGCCGCTAACCTGGCATTTACTAATCTTTGTCCCATCTGCTAAGAAACAGAAGGGTGCAAGCATCCCCCCCTCCTTCCCTAGACCTACAGAGGCAGCGACTTCACAGGACAGTTTGCTTAGGCACCAGTCCAGACACCTTTGAAGCTGTGTTACAAAGAACAAGCCTCCCTCAAGCTTCCCTCAATGCAATCATTACCGTTATCTCTCACCCCGTGCTGCTTTTTTTTTTTGCAGTTACGAGTTATGTGTTCCACCCATCGATCCCTGTGTAAGACACTGTTTTAAGTCCTCTTGCCTTTTGACTGTGCTAAGCCGTTTAAGAGATGACAGCAGCTTCTATCAGTGCGAAGCTGATGCGATTCTTTCCAGATAAAGCACTTTTTTTTCACTCCCCCCCTCCCTTTCCCTTCTTTCAAGTAAGAGACATACACACAAAAAAAGACACTGAATCTTTCAAAGAAAAAAAACCCTTTTGAACTTCCCTCAGGAATTCTTTAAAGGGATAACCTTACAGTGTAAACACTGAGGGTAACGTGCATCTATTCTGGAAAGGGAACAGAAGAATTGCTACAAATATGTTGAGCGTTTAAAAAAAACCCAAAAACATCAGAGAGGGAGCCACTTGATGCTTTCACTTGCAAAGCCTTGTTGGCTTCCTAAACACAGAAACTCATTAGACAAAGATGGCATGAAATAATCCCCTGCACAAAGAGCTTCGGAGAGGGATGATCCAGAGACATGGGGATAGATGGTTACTGAACATTCAGGTATTTAAAGAGAAATTTTAGTCTTGCGACGCTGTTCTAAGATAGGGAAATATTTGATTATTACATCTGTATAGCTTTTCACTTTGAAGCACGAGCTTGACCTAAACAGCGCTTGGTATTTCGTGCTGGTGGCCTTCTGTACCCATCCCAAACAGAAGCAAGAACTCTCCTGCTACAAACCCCTACTTCAAGCAGGACCTCTGCTGAAACAAAGTGGTTCCAAATCCTATATAATTGCCAATAATCTTAATTTACATCCTGCAGTTTTGGGTAAGCAAATTAAGCAAAAGCAAATGATGCTTTAAGAAGCCAGGAGGACAGCTAGAAGTACAAAATATTTCCTGACTGAATGCCTTCACCAAACCCAACAGCTTAAGGGACAACATACTGATCCCAGCACTTCTGATTTACGTCATATTCCTACTTGCTGCCATCTCCTATTCTCTCCACCTGCTGCCTCAAGTATGCCAAGCTGTTGCAGGCAAGAAGGTGTGCTTTGGCTCTGCTGCACTAGACCCGACTGGGGATTTGTAGCTGCAACACCAACACAGAAGACAGAATTTCCACCTTCTAAGACAGCCCCTCAGGTGAGAGAGGCAAGTTTTCCCTGCAACCCCTTTGCGCGAAAACTTGATCCTAGGAACCACACAAGTGAGTTTCAGCCTGTGATTGCTCCCAAGTATTAGACCACCTTCCAGAAAACCTGAGCAGGGCTGTTCGTTTCCCTGACCTTTCTCTTTTCAAGAAGAAAAACCCCAGGATCTCCCAACCTTCCCCCACTTTGTTCATTAACCAAAAATGATAAAAAGAAGAAGCCAGGACCCGTGTTAAGTTTGTGTTACTTCTGTAATGCTGCCCAATGGTCTGACCGACTCATGTAGTACACACAGGCCACAGTGTCCTGCTCCCCCTTCGGTCAGCTGTGACATCTCCTCAAAGCAACATACCATTAAAACTGAAATTAATGAGACACACGGACATCTATTTTCCCCTCCAGTTTTATGTATTTCCCCATGTCATCTCTTTAGACACTGGTGACATCCCTGTAGCCTGGCAAAGGCTGTCTGGCATTATAAAAGGCCTTTGGTTTCCACATTGCTGCTACTTCTCAGCAAAGGGAACAGAGCCAAACACAAAGCCTCCGGTGACGGGGGTTAACGAGGGCCTTGCCAACTCCAGACAAAGCAGTTTTAAGCATTAGAAAGCATCTCCAAAACGTTGTGCTGTGCTTCAGGGCTGTAAATTAAGAATTCTGTCCCTAAAACAAGGCAAGAGCTAATGCTGTCAGAGAAAGGGAAGAGAAAATCACCTTAAGGTTACCTGCAAGGGCACAAAGCAGGCCTGACTGATGGAGACCTCTGAATGCCAGCAGCCAGAGACAATATAAGAACCACAAAAGGGAGCATGAAAAAGTATAACTTGCTTAAAAAGAAATACAATCAGCCAACTATGGGAGATCATCCCAGCTTTGCTTTGGCTTCCCAAATTACAGAAGCTTCTTGCGCAGAGTAGGTGGGTACCCTGCAGATATTATCTGGTCATCCCAAAATACTAGGTAGAATGTTGGTGGCAAGAAGTTCCCCTGTTTAGGGAAGAGGACACCGCTCTAGAGAAGCGTGGCAGCCATTGAATCCAGCTGCCAGCAGAGGCGTGCTCCAGAGGAGGAAGGGCAGGGAGAAACGCATGTGCTAGGGACCTGCCAGCCGCTCAGGTGGAGTCATTTCTTCAGCAGTGCCTCTGCCACCAAAAGCTGCACAGAGAGGATGCTCCTCAGTTCAAATGCTACACGGAGGTTCCTGTGCTTGTGAGCTGATCTATGGACACCTTTCATCCAGCACCACAAAGGGAAGGAGTCTAATCCAAAAGCCTTCCCGTCAGGGTAATTACGGAGAGTCTTAGAACTGCATCTAGTTGTGCTCTGCTCTTCTCCTAGCCTTCTGATCCTTTGCTGGATCTGTTCATGTAACTAAACACTCTTGAATGTGTCATGAAGGTCTCAAAAAGGAAAGAAGAGACGGACCCCATACTTTCTGATGGAAGCAAGGCTATTTCTAAGTATGAAATACAGAAGTACCTGTCCATGCGTGTGCAGCCATCTAGCAGAGGTTACAGCCCTGACTTTTGCTAGAATCTGTCTAAACTCTGGTGGAGGAAAGCATTTGATCTATGTAACGCAAACTAACACATTTGAGAATTCCTTAAAATAAGGAAGAAAATGCAACAAGGAGCAAGTACTTTGCATTTACACAGCCTAACCACATCAATTACACACATTTTGTCCACCTGAAGCCTCACTCAAAAGCGGGTCTCCACATGACTGAAGCAATATGAAAGGTTCAGATCACACTTCAGTGAGTTAACTCAAGAACAACCGGGAACGTTAACCAGGTGAAGACAGCACAATGTCCACACCAAAGGAAGCGCAAGATTGTGCTCTCCTCAAACTCAGGTGTTCGGTGTGGGTGAAGCAAGAAACTACGCATGCACAAAAAAGGGCAGAAGTGAACTGAGTAGCTTTTTCCAATCAGGACTAGCAGTGACAACAATAGAGGCACACAGACATCCCATGCTTCCCTGCTAAGGATTGTAGTAACTATACTACATAAACATAGTCTAAGGCCCTGCATGATCTCATCAGACCTCTACCTGGAATCATGTACAGACTCAACTCTCTATGCAGGCACAAAAAAAGTTGAGGTAGGTAAGGCTACAGACACAGGAAGCGACAGTGTGAGCTTTACTGGGTAGCCTTTAAAACCGAAAGAAGCTGCTTCTTCACCTCTGCTCCTGGTCATCCGCTCTGCTACAACCCAGCTACAATTTAATTTCAGAGGAAGGTAAGAGGAGATCAGGAGTGCCAGGTTGTCAGTGAGCACATGGCTGGCTTTTAAGTCCAACTCCCTTACGTAGTAGCCTTTCCCCTTGAGATATTTTAAATTAAAATCCAAGCTGATATAGGAAGAGATCACATCCCATCCTCTTTATTGAACGGAGGGAGCCAGCGTTCCTCCTCTCATTAGGCATGTGCTACGTGGATTGCTTGCGAGAGACTCTCCTTAGTGCCAGAGGTTCATGCCAACGAACAGTTTAGTAAATCCTCCTCTTCGAGGCCAAAGGGCTGAGTGTAAGAAAGGGGCCAGGTTTCTAGCTAAAATTACATTCACCAATAAAGCTCACGAGAGGTCAAATTTTGCCATAACTCACTCTCTCCTCAGTAACTGATTTCCCCGTCACTGGGGAAGGAGCAAAAGAAGGAGGAAAAATAAAATGTGTTTGTCTGGGAGCCCTAAGGGCTTGCAGTGCTGGAGGTGCAGAGCAGGTTCCTGGATTCTCATTTATCAACCTTAAAAGGGATGGAGTGATAAATGCACAACCGGCCCTTTAATATTTTATGCAGGTGCTAAAGCGACTTAGCTGTCACCTTCAATACATCACCAGAGGCTGATACACCAGCTTTCGTCACTCCAGGCTGGGAATTTTTACAATTTCATTTCTATTTCCCTCTCTTCACATATTTCCGCGTATTTCTCACTATGTGTAACATATAAAAAGCTATTTTTCCCAAATGATCTCCCCATTCTACTCATTCCCTCTTCAGCCACATTTCTCGAACAAGAAATAACGCCGTGCTTTTGTTCCAAGATTTGCACAAATTTTGACTCTCATCATTCAGGAGAGGCAGAAAGCTGAAATCACTTTACATTCTGGCAAAGGCTGAAGGTCCCGCCCTTTGTGAAAGGCAAATCTCTAGGTCCCTCCCTTTAAAGACAGACAATAATCAACTTCCACAGCAGAATGATTTACAAGGGCCCCCAAAACACTGGCGCACCTCGAAATCCTCCCTCCAGGAGAGTAGTAGCCCGTATCCTCTTCTGCCCGCACCATTCGTACTCTTCAAAGCGGTTGCCATTCTCGTTCTCGATGTCCACAGAGTCATCCTCAGTCATGCATGAACCTTCTCTCTGCACAGGGTAAAGCAGGGGCAGAGCGTTGAGAGGCATGAAATAGCTCTTTGGGGTTAATAACTCAGGGTGGGATGGAGAAGAAAAGCTGGACTGTTCCCAGGACAGCTAAATATAGAGCAGACAGCAGCATCTACTCCTGCCCCCATTCCCAGTGATCTAGAAGTAAATGGGTACTGGAAGAACTTGACAACCTTAAGATCAAAACAAGTCGCAAGGTTCATAATTTTTACACATGGAAATTTAAGCTCTGGTTCCTACAACAATGCTGGTGTGCATTTCAACATGCATTCCCCTACCTTGCATGCACAATTCCCCTATCATGTAAGCCACAGATTCCTTTGACCCCCAGCAGGAATGTTCTCCTAGAGCATATTTTTTGGGGCACGCTGATCAAAAGACACTTCTCTTTACACCATGCACCTCTTGAGGCAACAAGAATGAATTTATCATCTCTATTGTGGGCTTCTCCTGAGAAACAAGCACAGAAAGCCCTATGACACAACTCTCTCCCTCCCCTAGGGCTTGTTCCTCCTTCTTCCTTGCTGTCTTTGGGATGAACAGCAAGAGAACGATTCTGCTCAAATGCACTTCCTGGAGTAAGATGGTCATGCAGCATTTACAAATGCCAGTCTGTTGCAAAAGAACCAAACAAAAAATAATTTTAATGTTGTCAAAGGCAGCGATCAGAAAGAACTCTTCTTGCTGTGCTACATAGGAAGCATGAAGTCCTACAAAAGGCTTCATAAACTTCAATAGCTCTACCTTTACAGTCTACATCTTAGACTTCAATAACAGCAAAAGGGTGCATGAAGTAAAAAAAGTTACTAATGCAACACAGGAGAAAAATCCAGAAGAATCCATCTTCCAAGACAGAGAGAAGTGACTACAGGTCTTAGGGAGACATAGTTAGCATTGCCTGCAAGCTCAGCAATGTTAGTTTTTGCCCCATGTTAGGTCAACTGCAGACAAAGCTGGGGGTAGGGAGAAGGGAATGGCAGCTGGTGATCCTGCTGCGCCTCTACCTTTGCAAGGCATTGTTCCACATGCCTACTCATCTCCTCCTCGGATCCTGACAGAGGTCGGCTGCAGAGGGGACATACCTGCCCTTCGTCTTGCTTCCTCCGTTTCATTTTTCCAATCCGAGCTGCATGGAGAAACCAGGGAAAGAAAACAAAAAAAACAAAAGAGGAAGACATGTCAAGTTTGTAGATCCACTCTTCTCTCGATTTACTCAGCTCCAAATAATAAACCCTCGGCAGATTTCACACCAGAAAATCCTGTTGCAACTCCCTATTCTGATCTCCGTAAACAGTACAGAGACTGTTACTTAGAACTTTCCAGATTAAACCTATAACCTGTGGCTGAGTACAGCCTGATTTCAGAAAGGCAGCTACTCACGATTTAATAACCAGGAGAGGGAATATCTGCCACACATCCCCAGGTAAGTTATTCAAATGGTTAAATACCTTCTCTTGGAAGCCTGAAATTGTTTTCAAAGTTGAATGATCAAGCCACTGAATCCTGTCCTGGATTTTGCCTTCTAAGTCTGAAACCCATCCACTAACACATCTATTCCCTATACAGGAACTTGCTTAGACCGTAGAAGGATGATGTAGCACCCAAAAAGCCTTGGACAAGGTACGTAACAGTCACTTCCAGGACCACAGTCTCTTCTGTACACCCTGAATAATTCCTTCCCAGAACATCACGAACAAGTCAGAGCAGCATCTTAGTAGCAGGTAACATTTATGGAGAGGAAAGATCTTTGCTGTGAAAAACGCAGCACCTATGCTAGATAGCTTCTGGCGCTCTCTGATATTTTTCACTATTTTCACGTAGAAGAAAACTGGGGGCTACACTGCCTTCTTGAGGGCGCGCTCTGGGAAACAAACATGTTAGGAATCACGATGATTAGAAAAAGCAGCCAAGGTAGCCTGTTGCTTAATCCAATCTCTGGTTAATTTGAGCCATCATTTAATGTGATCAAAACATCTGGAACCAAATAATTTGCATTAAAAAGAACTTCTGTCCTTTATTATGATGGCTTTAGGCAGGTATTACTGAATAACTCAATCACTGGCTGCAGGAAAGTCGCTGTTTAATTAATAAGGAAGGTCAAAATTCTGAATGAGAGACAAGGAAAAGCCCAAGGAAAGCCCATGTGATAATGAGAGATGACACCACCAAAAAGCTGCGTTAGCCAGAAATCGTTACTGACATTGTGAGCACTGCAGCATGCTCTGAAAGCCTTCATGCCTGAATACTGTGGGATCAACAGCTCCCTGCAGCCAGCGAGTCAGAGAAAGCTGCTGGAATGCCAGGAAGAGAAGGACCGGGGTACGGGAAAGTTTCTGTCAATCGTTTTCTAAAGTGCATCAGTTTATAACTCACTTGGTGATGTGGATGCGCTAAAGTTTCATCTGAATACACCAACACAGCCCGAAAGGCCTCTTTCAGGGCTTTCTTGTTGGCTTCCCTGGACTCAGGACTCTCTGGGTTAGGATATACTTTCCCACAATCCAAAATTAGGAATATTCACCACCCCCGACACTCTGTGATGCTCCAGGATTAAGAAGGCTTCAAATTATTCCCTGGGCATTGCTTTTCCTCACTGAACAAGACAGATTTGTAGGAAAACTCCCTCCAAAACAAACCTTCCCTCCTGGCATCACGAAAAGGCTTCTGCAAATGTGACATTCCTAGAATAGGAAACAGCAACTTGAGACCACAACAGGAGTGTTTTTGAGACCTGGGACTTTGAACAACAGAGACTGTCAAGTAAATGCACACCACTTTCATCAGTCATCTAAATTTCATTTGCTGAAGCTCCACAACCCTCTCTTGTGTTGGGTACACCACACTGACAGCTCCACAGCCTACCTGCCTCTCCACACACTTCAGGTACTTCAGTATTCCTAGTGGGATATTTTAATAGTTTCCCTTCTATTTTGTCTGCTTAAATCTGTTATTTTACCTATACTGTCAGCTTCTACGCCAGAAGGTAAACCGCTTGACTTCCAGTCAATACAGAAGCAAACATCATGAAATGTTACTGCTAATTTCATTGTGTCCAGATGAATTATGTTCCACTTTTAAATAAAACAATGACCCCCAACATGTCTTCTGTGTTCTCTCCCCTTCCTGAACCCCAAAACGCTATCCCTCCTCCACCTTCAACATCATCCACCCCTGTTACCAGAAGTAGTCAGAGTTAAGCCGTGTTCTTTCTGGTTTGTACTTCAGTGCACAAGAGGCTTCTGAAGTTCTGGTTTAGTGAATACCTATATCCTCCAGTATGGTTCTTTCGCATAAGCTTAGGATGCTCTTTCCTTGCCTCGCTAGTGCTGCAGAGTCAGCACAAAATAGGGGAGGAGGATGGAATCAGACACAACTTGAGTATTCTCCAGCAAACACCTATCTGACCAGAGAAAACCACAGGAACAAAGCCTTCTCTACTCTGATTGAAGACACGTCCTTCTCTCACCTCATCCTGTTTTTAAACAGGGAAACATAGGGAAGGAGCAGTTTAATTATTCTGGTAGGACTCCTCATGGCAAATCAATTCAGCTAAGTCAGTCTGCCTGGCAAGTTTAATAGTATTTTTAACTTTTTTACTGCCATCCTCCAGTCCATGCACTGTAACAGTGATAAAAGGAAGATGACTTGGTTTAGGTCTTGCACTGATAAATTCCTGGGACCATTTTGCCAGAACAAGCACCTGATCTACTGCTGAAATGTTAGTGCAGAGCTGGGAACAGAACCTCACTCTGCTCCAGCTCCACGCAAGACTCGGCAGACAGCCCCTATCTTGGCTCATCTAGCTCCACCAAGAAGCAAGCCCTTTAAATTTTAGTGCCACAAGTGAAAAAGCCACTGGAAGAAAGAGGTGTTGAAAACAAACCCCCCTGCCATTTTCATTCTGTGGTCATTAGCAGCGGCAGTGTTGTGCCCACGGAGGCCCTGGTGACAGCAGAAACCGAAAGGGAATGCTGCAGCCTAGAAAGCACATCCCGAGCCCGCTGTCCCTACCCGACACGACACGCAGCCCGGCTATCACTTCCAATCAGCGCAGAAGGGAGGGAGCGGCCCCAAAGGCAGGGGGTGATTGTGGCGCCGTCCCGAAGGGGAGCAGCTCAAAAGAACACACAAGTGAGACCACAGGATTGTTAATTAGTGTTGATAGATGCGATCATTTCTAATTAGCTCACTAATCCCTCTCCCCGCTCAAAAGAACACACAAGTGAGACCACAGGATTGTTAATTAGTGTTGATAGATGCGATCATTTCTTTAGCTCACTAATCCCTCTCCCCCTCGCTCCTGTCACAGGAGCATGGGGGGGTTTGGTGGGGGGGGGGGGAGAGGGCAGAAAAAGCCATTCCCTCTTGTAATTCAGGATGATAAAAATGCAGCCAGCGGAGGACTAGGTGCAAGAAGAGGACGGAGCTCAGGGAAGGAGGTTTTTGCACAAGGCTGACCCATTCTTATATCTGACTGAACAAAGACTCTGTAGTTATTATTCCAGCCTTCTGCCAGGAAGTGAGGAGTTCACTAATTTTTATTAGCATTAATAATTATTATTAGGCCATCAGAGGGCTTCCAGTACCTTTGAGGCCTCACTTTTAACAGATGTACATTACCCTACACACTGCTCCTGCTGCATGTGCATGTTCTCCCTCAGGTTACACTAAACCATCGGGCACCCAGGGAGTTTAAGTGGCCATAGCATATGAATGAGAGTGTAGCACATGGAGGTGAGCAAGAATTGGGACCCTCTGCAAGAGCTGGGGTCTCAGTTACGGTCTCTGACTTAACTTAGGAGCTGTGCTGGCTAAGGGAGCTGCTCTTCCCTTTCCTAATACAGGGTCTTTTGGGACTAAGCAAGGTGAGAAGCTGCTTGCACTAGAGGAGTAACCAAACTGCACTTGACAGAGACTCTACTGCTGAGGGTACGCTGGCCCCTGCCTTCCCACGGGTGCGGAGAGAAGGAGCCAGCCCACCCCTGTCCACAGACACTGCTGCCTTACGGGTGGAAGAGACCGAGGATTTTTTCTCACAACAGGCTCTCGCCATCAAGGCTAAACCTTATTAATGCCTAAAGATCATGTTATTCTCTAGCCCAGCAAAACTTCCTGAGAGAAAAGCTAATGGGTTTTAGTTTCCACTGATACTCCCCTCCCCAAGCAAAAATTCACCTTCAGGACAGGGCACTAATTACCTCAGAAGTGCTCTTACATAGCATCTAGCAGTGGACACTATACAAACCTCTACAGCAGCATCAAAGGAGATGATTAAGTTACTAGCAATATCTCTTATGATTCCCTCCACCAGTTTGAGTGGTCCCCTGAGTGCCATGCAGACATCATTAGCAGCTCCTGCAATGGCAGGCCAATCAAATTAAGTGGAAACATTTTTGTCTCCTTTCCAGTGAAAATCATCTAGCTTTATTCCTCCCCCACCCATCAGCTACAAAAGCACATGACATGCTGGTGGTGGTTCAACACAAACTGTGCGGTGACCACCTCCCTGGAGGTCTGCCCAGAGAGGCAGGCTTATGGTCACCACCGATACAGGAATCGGCTTCTCAGGCAGGTGCAAAAGGAGCTTTGCAAGGACCTATTTTACAATTCTACTGAAACTGCCAACTTTGCAAATACCCCTAAATTTGAATCAAAGATATTCAAGCACAAGAGTTAGCACCTGCTCTCTGCAAATCTACTAGAGGAGTCCTGAGGAGCAGTTATACCTAATTTTGTCAGACCTATCACAAAAAGCTTCCATGGCTGATCAACTTATCCAAGGGAACAAAGGCAGCAATGGCAGACCACAAAAAACCATCTCAAGAACAAGCTAAAGCAAGAAAACAGATGGTCAAGAATGAGTCTGTTTCAGACCTTATGTACAATTTGCTGCTCATCTGCCTGAGAGAGAACATTAAGGGCCAAATTCACAGGAGGGTCTCAGTGGGGCTTTCACATTTGTATGGCCAAACTTCCACATGGATGATTTTCAGCAACCTTCAATCCGACACTATTCTCCGAGGTTGGCACGTACTTAACCTGCTAAATCCATGTTCTGATACACTAACCTGTAACTCTGTACCTCTAATTTTGAACGACTACCTAACCTGCTCTGCACTGCTAAACTCCATAAGCACCAATTTACGGGGTGGCTTAAAGTTTCCAGTTTGGCTACACTGGAAATAAGGCAAATGAAAGAAATGCCTTCTTCATCACATGGGATCGTCAGGAATCAGCACCTCATACTCCTGGGTTCACAAGGACATAACCTCTGCAAAGTGAGTTTAGCACAGGTGAGAGGTGCGAGATTAACTCACTGAGGCTGACAGGGAAGTTCAGATACAAATACTCAACCAACAGTCTAACAGATAGAGCATTAATCTCCTGCTCCAGAGCTTGCAAATTCATTCACCTTACTTACAGTTCAATTTAAGTCAAAGGTTTGACTTACAGAATTAAAATTCTGGACTGTCAGGTACCCGTGAACCATGTAACTATCAGGACCATTAGGTTGCAGCCAGGCCAACAGCAGCTCACAGAAGACATCTCCCTCTCTGCCTTCTCTTTCCTTAGCTCTTGTTGCACTTTCCCAAGTGACCACAGCAGGATGGAACACATCGAGGAGATCTGACAGGACTCGGGCACAAAAAGCCTAGGCAGCTGAGATTTGAGTCAAGGACTATGCGGGAGAAGAGCAAACACCGTGGGCCCCTTTTTATGGGAGGAGTTTCCAGAAGTGATTCTGGAACTCAGCCTGTAAGAAGCCTGACAGAGATACCAAGATAAACTGGCTACAACAATACTGAAAAGTACACTTAAAGCATAATTGAAAACAAATGAAATAGATTTTTCTTTGACAGCTAGACTGCATTTTCTATATCCTAAGTTTCTTCAGTGTGTCAATAAGAATATGAAACAAAAAGCCAGATGTCTTTGGACAAGTCCTACATAATTTCTGTCAGTGTAAACTAACGGGGATAAGGAAACCATTCTCACAGAGCAAGCTATAAAGTTGTGTGATTGATTAGCAGCTCATTAAAAACACAAGATATAGACAAATAAGCATTTTTTTTTTCCCCCAGAGCACTCAAGTGTTCTCCATCTGGAGCAATACTGCTTAAATAACTGTTTAACAATAATGTGGCAAAGCTTACGAATGCCACAAAGTTATTTTAGTGCAAACAAATGGGGAGGAGGAAACAAGAAAGCAGGCTGACTTCAGTGGTCACAAATATAAAGTCACATGCATCAAAAGGAGCAGTATAACCTACCCAACCGTCCAGCTGGATGCTAATCTAACAGCATAGGACTGAACCAGGCATCGCTACAGGTATGTTCTGGGAACAGTAGTAACCAGAGTCATAAAAAGCTAAGGTCGGGAGGAACCAGTTCTGATCTAGTTTGACCTTCTTTATGACCCAAAGCACTTCAGCTAATATTTCTGCATCCAGCTCCCTAAAGTCTGGACCTCGTACTGTCAGGGTGTACAACAGAACAGCCAGGAAATACCAGCATTACAAGGGCATTATGTAAATTAACCAAATGTCCTCATTTGGAATATGGCTCTTAGTTCTGCTCACTGTGCCCTGTATCTTTTGTATATACAAAAAGAGTAAAAGGTTCAGCAAAAACAATGCAAACGCTGTACAAAACTAGCAGCCTCCCTTTAGACGATGAGCCCGGGTTCACAAAAACATCCAAGAACAGGGCCCAAGAGGAGTTCCTAGATTGCAGTCTACACAGATTGTGCTGCAGCCCTACTTTGGGCTGAAGTCAAAAGCATAAAGCACTACTGAGCCAGTTCAGCAGAGCACGCTGTCATCAAGAGCTTTCATTCATACTGAAGGACTCCACAACACCAAGAACCTTACAACCTTACAAGCCTGGCTCAGACTTTTTTTTTTTTTTTAATTTAAAATAAGGTAAGTGCACATTGTTGGCCTGAAAAAAGGTGGAAGGTGGGAGCTTAGCCCCAGCTATCCAAAAACGATAAAGAAACAGTTTGACATCACTGACTCCAGAGACCTCTGTCACACAAAACAAGTCACTGCAGAGCAATACCTCAGTGCATTTCAGCCATCTGAAGTCTCTGTGTCAGGAAAAGGGCCTACCTGCCACCGCCGGCAGCTCACTGCACTCATCTAGGAGCGCAGATGTGAGCACACCTGCCAGCAGTTACCCGTAATTGATGCAAGGCAACTCATCTCTTTGTTGTATGACTTAACAGACTTTCAAGAGTTCACAGGTGTTTGGCCCTCAGGGTTGGTATTTAAAAATCTCCACGCTAGCTCTGAATTCAGTTATACATAACTTAAAGTTACTGGGTCAGTAACTTACTAATACTTCTGTTTGCTTAAGACTACGCTAAACATGTAGCGCTTCAAATTCGAGCAAACTATTTCGGTATCAGTACATTCTAAAGCCTTTTGCTATTTTGTTAAAGTATCTCTTATCTTCTTCTAAATAGACTGCATCAGCACAACGTCACTGGTGTTATCTTAAACTATCACAGCAGGAAGCTCAGAATTAACAAGCCTCCTGATAGCCCCAACAACCAAATTTTGGCTAAATAGTACGTATTAGACCAGCTACAAGCAATGCAAACTCAGATGACAGAATATTGTTACCATTTAAATGGTAAGTTCTGACTTCTCTGAACTTTGGGAAAAGCATTTCAACTTCTTCAGCTCAAGCTTAAAAAAAAAAAGTACACTTTCAGCTTTTTTTCCGATTTACAGAGATGGGACTTTCTCTCTCTGAAATAAAGTGACCTTTGATTTGTTTTTTAAATACCAAGACACTTTTCACTAGAAATACTTGTTTACTTGGTGTTAGGAACACCCAGAAATACGAGAATAAAAGTAACGCACCAGCATCTGCAGGTTTGAGAGGAAAAAAAAAACCCAAAACATGACGTCAGCTGCACACACGCTAAGACTGCG